CCTCCAAAAACTGGCATCTGAGTATTTTCTCTGATTGTATGTGCTGGACACGTACCACGAGAGGGAGCCGGACACCCGGACACCAGGACAGCTTTCCTCTCCGGCCACCCTGACAGCCACTAGCTAGAGGAATGGCAAATAGTAGTTTTCTCTAGAGAATTTTTACAGGCCAAAGTGGAGGGACAGAAGCTGCCCACACCAGCTTGGCTTTTGGTCCACTCTGTATAAACCCAAAACTACTTCCCTCAGCAAACAAGTGCAAGATTGTGACAGACCCCTTGGTGCTCTGTGCTGAAACAGACTTTTCCACTCTGCATTTGCTCATAAAAACAAGATGATGAAAAGCAGCGTGGCCACAGATGCCAACAGGCGCAGACTTGCAGATGTTGCTCCTCCAGGCACCGTGCCTCCAGGATGGCTCAGCCCCTACCCGGCCAGAGGAGCTGCCTCCTCAGCCAGCACATGGGCTGAGCATCACTCTCCCCCGTACACCATGTGGTTATCTCCCCCTCCTGCCATACCTCCACTTCCACTGCTGCCTCTCCACACCTCTCCAGGGAAACCACAGGCTGGGAAAAAACCTGCAAGTGAAATGGTGGATTCAGTCATAGTCAGCCTCACAGCAGGAAGCCAGACCAGGTGACAGAGGTCCCCTATCCTACAGTCCTAAGTCACTGGAGCAGTTTTGGAGCATCATTTGGTTTTGACACTGCCTCCCATGACATCCTCATAGCCAAGTTAATGAATTATGGGCTAGATAAGTGGACAGTGAGGTGGACTGAAAACTGGCTGAATGGAAGGGCCCAGAGGGTTGTAATCAGTGGCAAGAAGTCCAGCCAGTCACTAGTGGTGTAACCCAGAGGTGATCTATACTGGGGCCAAAACTGTTTAACACATTAATTAATAACCTCGGTCATGGGTAGAGTGCACCCTCAGCAAATTTGGGGAAGATACAAAACTGGGTGGAGTGGTTGATATGCCAGAGTGTCATGCTGCCATCCACAGGGTCCTCAACAGGCTGGAAAAATGAACTGACAAGAACCTCATGAAGTTCAAGAAGGAGAAGTGCAAAGTCCAGTGCCTGGGGAGGAACAATTCCATGCACCAGGAAATGCTGGGGGCCACCTAGCTGGAAAACAGCTTGGCAGAAAAAGCCCTGGGAGCTCCATACATGGATTGATGTCATTTTAAAGCACCTGTTGGAGTCCAAGAGCTGATGCAGCTCCCTGTGCAGACCTAATCCCTGCAGTGCAACCTGAGCCAAGGAGCACAGCCAAAACCAGCAGTATAATGTCAATCTGCTACCAAGTGGTTTTCTATGCACCTCTTGAAGGCCACTGAGCCTTGAGAGGGGCATGGAGATAGAGCATGTGAAGCTGGATTAGGGCCATAAGATACTTTCCTGGAAGAGTTGATGAGTTCAAGCACTGTACCCAGCTAACGCAGCTAGACAGCTCCTGTTTGGCAAGCTAAGACAGTCAGCGATGATTCAGGCATTTCTCTGGGACAGCTCAGGTACAAAGTCTGGTTGGGATCAAACCACCAACCCCGCTTCTGACTGTGTCAACCACTGGGCTCGGTCCAAGGGGCATTCTCGAAGCCACTTTCCCACAGAGCAGGCAGAAGAAACACATCAACCAGCTTCACCAGCACAGAGCTGATGAGTTAAAATGGATTCAGCTCTCCTAAATGATATGGGACTTAGGTGCCAGACACCAACCTCAGCTGCCTTGTCCTCAGCATCAAGTGATCTTCACACATGCTTAAAATCAAAAGGCAACTCACTAGTCACCTGTAAGTGTTACCTGCATGCTCAGTTTGCACATCATTACGTGGTTACCCAGAGCTCACCCAGAGTTGGTGGCCCACTCCCAGGCAGATGGTACCTGAAGGCTACGTAACAGGCACATGGCACATCTTGTTCCTTTTGACAAACAATGGCCTCTGCTTTCAGTCTGCCCACCTTGAATTCCAAACCCCCAAAAGACAGGAGCAGATACCTACGCTCTGGAGTGTTCAGGACTGAAAGGCATCAAAGCTGGTGAAGGGCCTGGAGCACAAGTCTGATGAGAAGCAGCTGAGGGAACTGGGGTTGTTTAGTCTGGAGAAGAGGAGGCTGAGGGGAGACCTTCTCGCTCTCTACAACTACCTGAAAGGGGGTTGTGGTGAGGTGGGTGTTGGTCTCTTCGCCCCAGTAACTAGCGACAGAATGAGAGGAAGTGGCCTCAAGTTGCACCAGGGGAGGTTTAGATTGGATATTAGGAAAAAGTTCTTCACCGAAAGGGTTGTCAAGCACTGGAACAACCTACCCAGGGAGGTGGTGGAGTCACCATCACTGGAGGTGTTCAAAAAACATGTAGACGTGGCACTTCAGGACATGGTTTAGTGGGCATGGGGGTGTTGGGTTGATTGTTGGACTTGATGATCTTAGAGGTCTTTTCCAACCTCAATGATTCTGTGATTCTGTGTTAGCAGTGGGCACCTAACTTGGCATGGATAGGATTACACCTGGGAGGTTTTTGACCGTTCCCACCCTTCTGCACCAATCCTACAGAGAACCTCAGTCCTCAGGCAACCAGGAGTGCTTTGGCTGGCTAAGGCACTATGGTGGACCGATATGCGGTTTCTGTCTTAAACATTTCGTGGTTCCGAGGGACCCACACCTTTCTAGGTACAACAGCTCGAACATGTCTTGGTACGGAGTAAACCCCAAAGAAGAACGAGATACCAGTTCCTGCAGAGCAGAGATAACGGTGCCAGCGCAGTGACCGGTTCCTGCAAAGCAGAGATACGGTGCAGGCACAGCGAGAAGAGACACCAAAGCCTGGAGATGTGCCATTGCCTGTTGCATATGCATGAAGTTTCTTGGGATCAGACGGAGATTGTGGGACTCGGACTGTATAAAAATGACACCACCAGAAGCAAAAAGGGAGACCCCCACCACCAAGGAACATCAAGAGGACCAACAGGATGCCGCTGGATCCACAGGTGGTGATCTCTTCTTTGCTGCCTCTCTTCCTCGTTCTCCCTCTCCGCCTCCCCTCTGTCCCCCCTGCCCCCTCTTTTTGTCGAACTGTAAAAGACATGTTGCAGGGGACTTGTTTGTTTAGTTGAATTGTTTAGTTAGAGTAGTTGCCGTTGAGTCATTTATGTAACCTCATGCCTTGCATTTGGTATTATTAAATTGCTAAATTGGTTGGCTGCTGTCGTTTCACCTTAATTCAGTCCGGTGGGATCACGAACTTGCTCGTTGGTCCCACGGGGAAGGAGGTCATCCTGAACGACTCCTTTCAGGCCACAACGGGCACACAGCCACAGTGTGTTCCTGCACCTGACTCCAGCACCCAATCTGGGATCTGGCCCAGACCTTTTTGGAAGGTAATTGTTGGAAATTTAGGGATTCCCTAAGGCAATCGCTGCAGTAGCGAAACCCTCCCCGTGGCCGGCTGCACCTACGATCGGTGAACCCATCACATGGCAGTGGAGAACATCACTGCCTCTAGTTCACAGAGCTGCTGCCAGGGACCTCGCTCCCTCGTAGGCACCGGCAGACTGTGATCCCGTTACTTATTAGCCAGCTCTTTGATAAGCTGAACAAAGCATCGCTCCAAGGCATCCATCACAGACCTGCAAGCCGGGTGGCTTTTTCGTGAATCCCCTCCAACGTGTCAACAGCCTCATCACGGTGTCAGAATGGGACAGGGCGGTCCCGATTCTGGTTCCACGGAGGGAGAAGGTGGCTGCTGAGCCTACGGAGGCACCGCATCGCTCACGGATGGAGGCAGCGCGGCCCAACGGCGCATCCTGCCTCGCCCCCGGTGCGGCATCTCCTTCACAGAGAGCAGAAAAGATGCTGTTTTCAACGAGGCCGAGCCTGGTGCCTCCTCGATGAGAAGAAGCCCCGCTCGTGCAGCAATACTAAGCTGACAACTGTTACCAGGAACATTACTCTTAGGGGGAAAAAGAAAAAAAAAATCCAGCCTCCTGTTAAAACCATCTCCATCAAAAGAGAGGCACCCTGGGAATGAACACAGTGAGAACGACATGGCTCCAGCTCAGGCAGAGGCTGAGGCTGTTTCCACAGGGCAGGGCTGGAGGAAGCAATGCCATAAAGCCAGGTGGGTTCTGGTTCAACAGCAAACTATTCGCTCCAGCACTCAGCTGAAGTTGCAGGGCTGCTCCTCTAAGCCATCGCTCTGAAAGAACCCTAAAGTGAATTAAACTGTGGCTTAAATTAGCCTAACAGGTTCCTTAAGTTCCCAAGTGCTTTTTCTCTGCCCTTTCTCCTATAATTCACTCTCTCGGGACTTCCCTCTCCAGCCTCTTCTCTGCCTTTCACAGAGATTTCACAGACTTATAAACCTCTCAAATATGCCACACTTCTGATATTCCAGATTCCTCCAGCGAGCCAGGGAGGCCAGGTTAAAAAAAAGAAGTAAGAAAAATACCCCTCGAATTTCTCAAATAACTGATAAAAAGCAATTAAACAACAGAAGGTCACCAGGTCCTTTGCTCCGAAAAACTACCCAGAAACAGGAAAAGTCGACAAGCTGCTGAACGTGACATGGTCCCAGCCCAGCGTTTTGAGAGGGAAGGATGCTGAGCTGTCTTGGATAAGGAGAATAACACTGGAGAGGGTGAGCTCAGGTACACCGAGAGTCCTTTCTGAAGCCTGGAGTCCTTTTAAGTGGTGGAGGATGAGAAAGGACAGAGTTAAGAGAGACTTAACAAAAAAAAAAAAAAAAAAAAAAAAACAAAAAGAAAAAAAAAATCAGGGAAGAGAACATTTGGAGAGGCTGTTGGCAAGGGACCAAGGACAGAGCAAGAGGAAAGGTGGAGAACTCAAGAGGGAACCTTCTTGACTTTAGCTTGGAGCTCACCAAGTGGGAGGAGAAACAAACTAATTAGTAATATCAGGACAGGAGCCACGCTAGCCTATATAAGCTGGTGGGGCACTTTCTTTTTCCCATTCTCTTAGCCTTGTTTTCCTTCTGTCCTAGCCAGCAAAGCAACAGCTACCCCTGAACTCATCGAAGAGGTAAGAGCACTTTCTTTATTCCTTTTCATGCACAGCAATAAACACACACCCTGTCAATGACTTACCCGGATCTTTCTTCTCCCCCAAAACACCTAACAAACAGCATCTGAACAGTCCTGAGTGAGAGCAGCGAAGGCTCGAGAGGAACACAGAGGTTGGGGAATGTCACAAGAATTTCAATTATTGAGAATTTTGTAGCAGGGTGAGGATTTATTACTGCTGCTTAGCCCAGTTGGTTGAACCTTGAGAAAAAAGAAGAAAAAAAAAAAACAGTGCCACAGCTGGAACCCTTTAACATCTCCTTTTACTCTCTTTCTATTCTGCAAAATGAAAAATGCCCAAATAGTAATAATATGCAGTTAATGTGATAGTATCTCTGGATCTCTCTGTCCCCGAGAGACAGGTCTCTGAAAATTGAATTGCAAATGGGCTTAATGAATATTTGAACCTGAGGGATGAGCTTTCTTTTGAACTAATGCTTTGAAATGTGTCGTCTATGGGAAAACCTGAACTTTTTTTTTTCAGTGCGGGTCAAGTGCATTATAATCTCTCTGTTTTGGGGAGCGTGCTTGTGCATGCGTGTGTTCCTACACATAACACAACACTATACTTATCCAGCTTTACTAAACCCCCGGTTAACATTACACGGGCTATGCTGGAATCAGAGCTGCTGAGAATCTGGCCCTTTCCTCCTATTGTACTGGGATGCAGGAATTCCTCTAAAAACAGGCTGCACGCAGAGCTGGCTGCCTGCGCACTTCGCAGCAACAATTCAGAGAATGCAAGACACAATGACTGCAATTGTGCAGTAGCAGTTCCTTGGACAAACAAATACCACAGGGTAATTTAAATCCTCTCGATTTACAGGGTAATTTGAATTTTGTCGGGCAGAGAGGAAAATTCCAGAAAGAAAAGAAAGTACTAGATAACTCAATGCTGCATTTTCAGAGATAAAAGCCCAACACCTGGCCAGACAGGCACCAGCTAGGAAATTACTGTTACCTGTGAGGAGCAAGACAATCAGCCAAGTAAGAGCCGCTGCTCCTCGCCCAGCTGCCAGCACAGTACCACCCTCGTGTAACACACCACGAACGTGTGACTGGGCTGGTCTCCGTTTCAGCACGCGAATAAAAAAGTATTTGGGGGCCAGATGCCGCGGGAGCGCGGCAGCGGTACGGAGCCCGCTTGGCTGCGGCGTCAGCAGGGCGCTGCCGAGAGGCCGCGGGGACGGCGCGACGTGGACGAGGTGGAAGGGAAATTGATTGAGGGAGACACGAAGTTGCATAACATCAGTGCTTGGCTGCAGGACATTTATTAACTCTGAAAAGTTGATTTAAAAAAACACAATAGATTAGCTTCTTGGCCCTGCGATGATTTCACTTTCATGCAAGAGAAACACCTCTTTTTTTTTTTTTTTCTCTGTTCTCACGGGTTCCATTTCATAGCTGATACAAAAGTATTTGGATACTTTTAGCTGCAAAACTTTCCCTCTTGCTTACATGAGCATCCTTAGCGAGGATGGCAGAGAGATATTATCCCACAGCACAAAGATATCCAGGCAAGGGGAGGCAGCAAACGTCTGGAACGACTGTGGAAAAGCAGCAGTGCCCGCAGTCCAGCTCTCACTCTCCACGGTACGCCATGGGAAAAGGGTTTTAAATGGCTCCTCCGCACGTGCACCACGGAGATGAAAACCCCATTCAGACTCGCTCTGCCTGGGTCCTGCTGCCGCTCCTGTACCACAGCGGTTACACGCCGGCATGGGCAGCCCGCGCTGCATTTCCACCAGACGCTTGTCTGGAGCCCCTCTCCGAGGGTGCACGAGATCAGGCGGTGCACTTCACACCGTGTGTCGGAGAGCGGGACTTACACGGTCTTTAGTTAAGCATCTGAGATCAAAAAACAGTCTCCCTGACTAATAGAATAGGAATAAAGGTATAAAAGGAATAAAATAATAAGGTATTAAAAGAATCTAAAGAATCCTGCCCCCCTGCAGAAGCCAAGCAGTCTGTTCCAGCAGAATAGTCCTTTCACAATTATTTCCATTTCCTTCCTTCACACACTAAGAAAAAAAGCCCACTTTGACTGAAAACTGCATGTTAACATAACTTCAATAGCAGGTCTTCAAAAGACCTGCTGAAGACTGGCCTTCATGCAATCCCCATCCAAACATGCACACTTCAGATTGAATTAAAATTCAAGCGTCACTGTCTTAACATTCTCGGAGCGTCTCCATTATTCTGGGATGAGACACCGTTTGTCTTCTGTCCTTTCTTAAACAGCTGCTATCGCCTACTCCCTAAAACAAAGTAACGTGTTAGCAGATCATTAATCTGAGCGTATGTGGCAGCTACTGCTTCTTACAGTACCAAACATTGTTAAAGATGCCCAAAAAATTCTCCCCTGGTGCTGGTTTCCAAGCGTTCACTACTTCTTTACACTTTCTTTGGACGACTAAGTAGAAGTAGTGCGAGTCCTCCATGTTCCGTGTTTCTGGACAGATGGGCAAGCACCGCGGCTGTGGTGATAGCCGAACCACCGCACACAGGAGGCAGTCGTCACACAGCGCCTGGGATGTGATCTGGGGTGGCCATGAAGCCAACGGGGCTGGATCTGGGTCTTTAAGGTGTTGTGAAGAACCCACTCGAATCCAAGAGTGTTCTTAGCCCACCCATTACATAGCAGGCTGCTCTGCAGGTGGCGGGGTGTTTCGTAATGATTTCCTTCTCCTTTAGCATATATAAGCTGACAGGAAAGATGAAGGAAAGTCCATGTGATCCCTCTCTAGAGAGACACAGCACTTTAAATAAACAGGGACATAATGAACGTGAAGTTGACCAGCACCGTGGCCAGAAGGTACCCATGACCACCCTCCGATCACTGTGATTTTGAATACTCTGGAAGAACGGGTAGGCAGGGTATTGACGCAGCCTTTGTGGGGAGTGAAGTTCAAGCCAGGTTGGTGGAAGTGACTCACCTGGTCACCTGGTCTTTTTGCCGTGCCAAGTGCATCAAGCTGACTTCATTTCTGCCCACGAAAACCCAGAGCAAAGGAGTTCTCCAGGCTCAGACTTGCGCAGTGCAGTAGTGCCTGTGAAAGCTGCCGTGCCACCAGCACAGCCCATGCACCACCAAATAGCCTCAACAGCAGATAAAAGGCTTCACACCTCGCAGTGACTTACAGCACATAGTAACCGTCTATCCCAGGGTAAAAGCCACCTTGCGTAAGAAAGAAAGGAAATTCCCCTCGGGTACTCGCCACGGGAGCATTCCTCCCCCGTTCATTCTGGTCCCGATTCGGCAAAGCACTGAATTCACATCGCTTCCCTGGGAAGTTAAGTATGCGCTTAAGTGCCTTCCCATGGCGAAGCAACTCAAAGTTTTGATGAATTAGGGCTTCCAGCTTGACCCGTTTTCTTCTCCACCATGTGAGTGGGCCAGAAAGTGACCCTGACACCTCACATGCACATTACATCCCACACTGCAGAACACCCTCAGGCTTGTGGGACGCAAAGAGCATCCTCACTCGGCGTGCAGGGAGACGTATCAGGCATGCTAGCACCGGGCACACAACATCGCTCCGCAAATGCAAATGCAACAGCCCTTGACTTTATGCATTAGCAACAGAGAAAGCCTAAGTTACATAGAGAGGAAGATTCTTTAAATTGAAAACATAAATGCACTTTCACCAAATGAAGAGCATTTATCTCGGCTGGAAATTTTGATTTAACTGAAAGTGCATCCAATTCACTTATTCCATTATTTCAGAATAAAATATGAGAAAAGCGAAGGTTAATGAATCAAGGTAATGAATTATAACTGAGCCAGGAAAAAGCCTTCCAGTGCCGAGACGCCATCCCTAGCAACACTCTCATCCTTTTCTTCCTCCTCTAGTTAAGCTCCTTGCCTTTGTGTCCTACACAAAATCAAATTCAATACTCTTCTACGTACTGGCCCAGTCTTCAGCCTTTTTCATATGGAACCTATCACTGCATTAGCAGGGCTCTTCCAGAAGGCAGAACACATCTATCTGTTATTGGTGCAAATATTTACTACTTCCCGAAATGTCACCATCAGCCCTCCAATAACATACACTAAGAAACTGGCTGCTTAACCACATGTCTGGCCCTGCAACTGTAATGCCCAGGGGTGAGGCTGCTTTAGCTTAAGCACTCTGCACTCGTATTTCTGAAAAGAATGAATGCTCTTCCTCAGCTGCCAAGAGGGCTTTTACTGAAGTTTCAAGTGAGTCAAGGAGTAACTCAAATACTTACATCCTTGTACCCTCTTATTTAGACTGTTAACTCCCAACCTAAATTCTTTACTTCTTGCCCAAGCTTCTACTCACCAGTGAGACCTGAAGCAGCTCTGGTTCTGCATTCACTCAATACCGTACCTTGTCTTGTGTTTTCTTTGTCATGACAGTTATCAAGAATTAGTCCTACTCTTCAGAAAAATGAATACACTCCAGGGAAAGGTTTGGTGGTTTTTAATTTGCTGACTTTATATTGAGAATTGACCCTTAGGTAAATAACAAATTGGCTATAGGACGTTGTTTTTAAAATCCAGTGTTTACAGTTAAATGTGAGTCTCTGGTCCACATGCCTGAATGAAGCTGTCTAGAGCTGTATGAGGTGCCAAAGGGTATTCCAGCAGCTCCTAATCCAAAGGGCATGTCTCCCATAGGGGACCCCACCTCTGCGTGGATGCCCTAAACACCTCTGCTTGGCATATAGTGCTCCCCCACCGTATTGAGGTCTTAATATAGTGCCTGCTAAATTTAATAGAAGTCCTTTCATTAGTCCCTGAGTGTTTCTTACCACAGGTTCTAACAAGTGGTCACAAATCTTGTTTTATGCTGAAGAACAATGGCCAGTGCAGACCACCTAACACCTTACTGTGCAGCTGGCAGAGAGAAGGCAGCAACATGTCTAAGGCAGAATGGAAAGCAGCCACTCTGAATTTGGCTTTTAATCTCTTACGTCAGTGCTGGGTAATTCTAAAGATGGGGCAGCTAAAAGTACAATTCAATAGAGGAAAAAAAAATGTATAAATGCATGTGAGTAATGGAGTAAGGCACCATGAACAACCCTCAAGCTAAGCCCATGCTCATGAGAAAGGTTGAACTGATCCCAATATGTGACAGTATAGAGACCCATTAACCTAACTCTAGGTACCTATTATTGATGGTAGATGGATAAATTCAAACTGGAAATATGCATTAAGCAGCAGAGGAAACTCAGTCATTGAAGCAGTTTCCTAGATGTGGTGGAATCTCTATCAAGTTGAATCTTGAGGTAAAAGCTTCAACTTCTGTGAAGCCGGTGTCCTTTAATGCCATCTTGCTCTTCTTGAAGTTACCCCTTAAATCAAGAGCTGCTTGAGTTCTAGAAAACATGGTATAGCTGAGCAGGGTGTTAAAATCGGGTAAAATACTATGAACAAGGCTCAGTCATGCCTTGTGGTGTTCAAATCTATGACTGCATGGAAGTCTGGAAGGACAGTGCAGGGTCCCAAGAGCACACGAAGACAGAATGCGTTCATGGACATATGACAATCAGGTGTCCAGAGTAAGGATTTTCCTCTTTCTGGCTCCAAAATAACATGTACTGAGCAATAATATGTATGTGGCAGAGAGAATAAACAGGTATCAGTAAGAGGCATTGTAATGAACTGCCTTTTTTCTTTCCCGTTGAATTTTACCAAAGGGTCAGAATATCAACATGGAAAACAGTGTTGACGTCAAGATAGAAACCAAGGGGGAAAGAAAGCCAATAAAGCAGAATCCACTGAGCAAAGCTGGGAAGAGGGTCTGCAGAGCTGTTGGGTACATCACTGGAGACATGAAGGAATTTGGAGCCTGGCTAAAAGGTAAAGTCATGACTAATTAGGGGATTCCAAAGATCAATTACTTCAAAGGAGTAATAACTAACTTCTCAATAACTGGATTCAAGCAAGAGTAGTACAGAAACTACCTCTGCCCCGAATTATTTCCATTTTGTAGGAAAACATCAGCTTTGTGCACATACTGCTTAACTTCTGAGGATGACTGAGATGACATTTACCTCCCAACATGCCATGTACAAAGCAAATTTAGTCCCACAGAACATAGCCCGGGATGGTTATTCTGTGCTCTGCCATTCTTCATAACGCTGCCTGTCCTTTCAGCTGAGCAGTTTCTGTCAAGCCTAATGCCACCGTGAAGTTAAATTACACATAGGTAGGTGTGTTTGGTCCCCACAATAAATCAGCAATGGGATACACACACGATTTGCCATCTGAGGCACAGACATCATAAATTAGCTGGTTCATATGAATCCGGTCCAGGGTACTTTATAACAGGGGACCCTGACAACCACACTGTTCGTCTCGGCTTTCCAGCTGTAAGACTTCAGTATAGACCATAATAAATCTCAGTCAGGTTTTACAGTCTTGTTGATTCATTGCTTCAGTCATGCTGCCAAGTTGCACTGCCAAAACTCTTCCTGAGTTTCAAAAAAAAATCCCGAAACAGCATCATCTGTGGTTTTTTTTTTGGGGGGGGGGTGTTATTATTTAGTTTGATCTCTTCCAGATAAACCTCTTGTGATCCAGTTTATTGACTGGGTGCTGCGTGGCATATCCCAGGTGATGTTTGTCAACAATCCCCTCAGTGGGCTTATCGTAGTTGCTGGCTTCCTGGTGCAGAATCCATGGTGGACACTCACAGGCTGTTTAGGAACAGTTGTCTCAACTTTAACAGCACTTATGCTGGGTCAGGATGGGTAAGTCCACCCTTTTCCCTTCCAAAACCAGACTGTCACTTCAATGCTGACTTATACGTTAAACAGGCGACATGGCTGAAAAGCATGTATGCTCGCCTTCACTGGCTATACATCTGGTCTGGTAGGACCAGACAGGTCTTCCCACCAGCTGCATCTGGTTCAAAGGGACACTGGACATAACTGCAGAAGGGGTGGTTGCTGAGAGGACATGAGACTCAAGCATGTGAAACTGAAGGTTGATTGCGTGAGCCTCAGCAGGTCATCACCACACAGAGTCACAACTGCATGGGGACGGAGCGGGTGATGTGAGCAAAGCACCTGCAGGGGAGAAGATTTCAAGATGATTGTTTCTTTCACACAGATCGGCCATTGCAGCAGGCCTGTATGGCTATAACGGGGTCTTGGTGGGATTGCTTATGGCCATCTTCTCTGCTAAGGGAGACTATCACTGGTGGCTTCTGCTGCCGGTAGCACTGGTGTCCATGACGTGGTAAGTCAGACGGCTCCTCCGCTTCTTATTCCAGTCGCAGTGTCTCTATGCTGAGACTGAGCCTTTGTAATTTTACGCACTATACAGACTACAATGGGAAAGAAACAGAACTGGCACATATGTGCTACTAAATCTGAATCATTATTTGCACTTTTAAACTCAAATGTAATCCCAAAACAAATAAAACACCCACAAAGTCACAAATAAACCCAAGAGGGAAAAGGAAAATCGATGGCTGATCGTACGTAACTCAATGCCCAAAATGTTAGCCATATTGCTGTGATGCATGAATTCATTTTTGTCTCTAGAGGAACATTATTTTCCCCATTCCCCACCACCATCAACCACAAATGTTTCATCTATTTAAGCCACCATATAAAAATGTCATGAAAATTTACCTCTCCAGGCACTGAAGCTGTTCAGTGGTCCCAAGATGTGATGGTTGATGCTAATGAAAACAAACAACTAATAATACTTTACTCATATATATGACACCATAATCTGCCAGGTATTTGGACAGCAAAAATTTTGAAAGCTGGTCTTTGGTCCCCAAACGTCTAGTTGAAGATTGCTAAACCACACATACCGTTTATCTGCCTGGAGTTCACGGGGTGTTATACTCACTTTAATAAGCATACCTTTGATATCAGCCTTTACTTCTAATGACCCTGATCCATAAACTCGAACAAGGACACACAGCCACATTCACAGTTCACTCAGACCTGACTCGGGTGTCCTAAATTCAATCCACTTCAACTACTAAAAGAAAAATGTAAACACTGAGACCGAGCTGGGAAACAACTCCATTAAATCACTGGATCCTCCACACGAGTGGAGGATTTTGGTTCCTTCATGGTCACCAAATTCACCACACATAGCATAACACGACAGGAATCTGTATGTCGCTGACTGCCCTGGGAAGGGTAGGAAATTCACCAAGTGACCCTAGCATATCTCTGATTTTATCAGAAAGACTGAGGATATTAAACAGCTTTTTTTAAAAAACAGACTGAGTTTCCTGCAGTTGGCGCTTTTTGGGTTTGTTTGTGTTCTTTTCCTAGCTGACAAGCTCCTAGTAAAACCACTTTGTTCTTCTTTCAGCCCTGTTTTCACCAGTGCTTTAGGCTCAGTCTTCTGTAAGTGGGATCTGCCTGTTTTCACCTTGCCTTTCAACTTGGCCTTGACCCTCTATCTGGCTGCATCAGGACCCCATAACCTCTTCTTCCCTACAACTAGCATTCAGCCTGCAACAGCAACACCAAACATCACCTGGACGGATGCTGAAATGCCAATGGTAGGATGCCCTAAAGATAACAGCCTTCTCCATTTACAAAGAAACCCACTATAGAATCATATTATTTTCCTTTATGTTACTGCATTATGGCCCGGCAATACGAAATGGCATTTATAAGATAGCTATTATCCAAAATGTAAAGGTTTACTCTAGAAACTGACATTTTTGAGAGCCAGACAATAAGAATCTTTTTGGTATCTGGCATCTTTCATTTACAGTTGAATCTAAATTATAATCTGTAAAGAGCCTCTACAATCTAATTCCCCGTTACTGTGCATATACTGAGCAGCACCCCATAGATAAGGTTGTGCTGAGACTACCAGTTAACTCACAGGTTAATTTTAGTTTTCCACGTAGAGAGTGCTGTGTTTTTAAAATTGCATCTTTCCAAGTAGAAATGAGCAAGCAGATAGCACTACGGAGGAATAGTTACAAACTTGGATGCAGACACATGTTCACATATTTTTAGTTAATATTCAAGTGGGATCTTTCGAAAAAAAAAAATTTATGCTCCTGCATAGCATGGTAAACAGCCACGCCACGGTTATAGCTTTCCCCTAAGGCTCAGTTGACTATTTTGAGGGGTTCCCTGGGAGTGATTAAGAAAAGGAAGTTAATTGACACTAAATAGCAATCCATACGAGTGACATTTCTCAAAGAACATTTACCATGGTGCATAATTTTATGGGGACAATAAATGGATTGTTCCACATTGAGGAACACAACATTTTGAGGAAAAGTGTCTCAAAACCATCTTTAAGCTGTGACCAAGTTGGGCTCTGTCCCACCAACCCAGCAACTCTCATTCATATTCCTAGTGAATCCCAAGGGAGTTTCAGGTATATAAGCAGATCAGGCATATAGCCTTACCTGAGTAAAAAGTCTTATAATTTTGGCCAAGCCACTCTTGGCCATTTCACCCTTGGATCTGCCCACTCAGAGGCGAATGTCTTCTCAAAGGCATCATCTACCTGAGCACTTCCATTTCCTAAATTCACTGTCATGGTCCACAACAGCACACAAAAATGTCCAAGTCAGCCGCACGTGTAAAGATGATGAGCAAACCGTTTCACAAAAGACATTTACCTTTGATGTTGGAGCAAAAACCTGGCAGAGCAGCTCATGGCTCGGGAACAAGGCATGACTCATTTTCATTGAAGAGGAAACCCTGTGGAAATGCCCTGCTGTCTCCAGAGAAGTGTCCAAACTTCCAGAAAGAAAGACTGCATCCAACAAATGCCGAACATGAACCTGGCCAAGAAAATAGTTTTTTTAAAAAAATTGAAATTACAAAGCCAATAACAATTTGTCTTTTTTTGTTTGTTTGTTTTAAATTCCTGCAGCTCCTGCGATCTATTCCAGTTGGGGTGGGGCAGGTTTATGGCTGCGATAACCCCTGGACTGGGGGAATTTTCCTGGTTGCTTTATTTATCTCTTCTCCGCTCATTTGCCTGCATGCAGCAATTGGATCAGCGGTGGGGATGCTGGCAGGTAAGGACTTGACTTGTGTCACAGATTTATATAAAAGCATGCAGAATAAAAGAGGAACCATGAGTGGAGCACTTACAGTCACAAATGTTTCTTCCATTTGAGAATGACTGCTTGAAAAAAAAAATACATATACACTTCTGTTTTAAGAACTTTCTTTTGATTGACTTCCCCATTCTCTTACCTCATTTTATGACGGTGGAAATCTTCAGAAGAAAGAAGCATATTTTTGGCTGAAATGAATTTTTATAATGAAAGACTTAATTTCTGATGGGTTTAGGAGCAGCTTAATAAAAATCATAGCCATCAGTCTGAATGTGCAGGTCTCAGGGATGCTTTTAAGGTTCACACCTACACTCATTCACTCGTATATCTTCTGCTGAAATCGCGTGGCCAAAATCAGCTCAGCAGCACCAGGGAAATTTTGCCATGATTGCATTAGATTAAAGTGGCTTTAGTCTTAGACCATAGCAACACGACTACAAATAGGAGCTCCGTGTACGTATGCAGGCTAGAGCCCTTAAAAAGCTGGATTCATGCCATTTCTCAGCTGCTTTATATCTTTGGCCAAAGAATGACACATCTTTGACTTATTTTCCAGCACTGAGCTTAGCAACACCTTTTAGCAAGATCTACTCCGGCTTGTGGGGCTACAACAGCTCCCTCTCATGCATTGCAATCGGAGGCATGTTCTACGCTTTCACCTGGCAGACACATTTGCTGGCAATTGCCTGTGGTACGTACCCTATGGATTTTCCCTACTGCCACGTTTCCTTTTGAAGTGAGACAAGATGGATTTATACTAGAGGTGGGCTGAAGCCAGATGGCCACCTCTAGACAGGCAGATGGACTCAGGCGAGACTGACAAATGATGGAGCCGGATGTTGGGGCTGTTGCTCTAACATACCCTGACAAAATAAAAGGAGTGCTTTTGCTTTCAGCCAAGAATTGTGTTCAAAACGAGATGTGATCAGTGGACGCTGATTAACTAAGGTCTTTCTTTGACATTAGATGCTTAGTTTTGAGGCATTAACTGTGTTTGTTCAACACTGCTGGATGAATCATATTGGTTTTTCCAATCATAGATACCAGCTCAAATTCCTTCATTGGAGAAGGACATATCTAAACTTTGAGAAGACTGGAGCTCATGATCAGCCTGCATCTGCAGTTAGTACAGTTTCCCCAGTCTATTGAAATGGATACCAAAGGCATGAGCTAGGCAACACAGAATGATTGAGGAATTATTTATAAGGCAATTCCATATGAAATTTCAATATCACAGTGAGCTGGGAGTGAAACTATTGCTCATTCAGTGATCATATAAAAAAGTTTCAGCTTTGTATCTCATTGACCCACCTTCTAGCCCTAGAGGCAGGAGAGATGGGGGTAGAAGGGTTATTTTCCTATTTAACCCCATCCATCAAGTTATATACTTTCCACATCAGTGCATTTTTCAAAAGCCTGTTTCCATAGCCACATTTTTCATGACTCCAGGTTTTTGAGGGTTTTTTTGTTTTGCCCTTTCCATGAGCTCTGGGTTGGAGGGGACACAGTGCAAAGGAAAAAGCTTTAAAAGGGGGCTGTCCAGGCATGGTCATAAACATTGGCTGAGCTACCCGAGGCAGTGTGAGAGATGTTTGTCCTTGCTGTTCTCCTCCATGAGCAACTGAACTCACCAGGAACTACCTTTCTTTTTAACAGCGCTCTTCAGTGCCTACCTGGGAGCAACAGTGACTAACATGTTGTCTGTGGTAAGTAGTGTATCAGCTAAGGTCTTGTTTCCACAACAAATTTGAACGTTGTATATTTTCCTGGCTTGTAAGGCAAAACACCAAGACGTGGAGAAAAATTCAGTCAAAGGCAGAACTGATCTGGGAGAGGGGACACTATCTGCCCAGGGGTTTGGTGTGGTTCCCACTGAAACAGGCCACTTACAATCATCACCACTTTTCATCCTCAGAGCTTGCATGAACTTCCACAGCTGAGCCCTCAACACCTCCGAGATAATTATATGTCTATACTTTGTGCCTGAAGAGATGAGGCACATCTCCACACATGTAAAGCAACATCTACTTTGGTTTAATTGCTTTGCCCAAGTGCCAAAAGGCAGTCAGTACGACAGCCCAGGGTACAGTTGAATGCTTCTGGTATCCAGTCCTACCTCATCTCCATCCACTCCTGTCTCATCTCCATCCAAGATCACTGCAGATGCACAAAGAGAAGGAAGCCTTCTCACCAGAGCTGGTAGATGTTACGGGTTAATGCACAATGTCGAGATCTCATAAAGAAATTCTGCCTCCCTGGGCAGAGACTCCATCCAAAACCAAGTCAAGGCTTCCTTGAGAAAGCTTGTTCCAAGCGGTCTGGCTCCTAGTTTTGTTCAAGGGCTGGGGATCAAATGAAAAGATCAAAGAAAGGAACACAGTAAACAAGTAGTTTGTGTTTTTCTTTGCAGTTTGGGGTGCCGTCAGGAACCTGGTCTTTTTGCTTGTCCGCACTGACCTTTCTGTTAATAACCACAAACAACTCTGCCATCTACAAGCTGCCGCTCTCCAAAGTCACCTATCCAGAAGCCAACCGAGCTTATTACCTGAAGATGAAGAAACGTCAGAGGTCTTGCTGTGAGGTGTAAAAAACCAAGAAGAGAGATACGTCGCATATTTTAAGGCAAGAGTGCATTGTGTTTCCCAAAAGAACATGATTTGGGTGCTACAAAGTCAAAAGACCAAAAAAAACCCACTCCACCTTCTGAGTGGAGGGAGCTTCCACCACATTCATTTGTTCTATCCTGATTAGATAGGATTGTGCTGTGCCGGAAGGACCTTTCCCAAGACCAATCTGTAATGATTTAAAACCACATATGCCTGAAAAGACACTTGAATTTTAAGCAGTGTGGAAATGACTTAGAAATTTAAAAAAAATGAAAAATCTGTTTGTGAAATCCAAGTCACAGCAATCAGATGTTAAGCAACAAAGAGCAGAGCATCTCTCAGCATCTGAGAGGACTCATGATTAATGGCTAAAACCAGCTTACAACAGCAATAGGATACGTCTCAGAGAGCTTCATAGTAGCAGAGAAGTGGAACAGAGAGCACCCCTTGCTAAGTAGAAAAGAGGTGGTGAAGAATTCTGCCTGGAGGACCCCTCAAGCCCAGTGGAGAGAGATGTGCGTTAGCCATCGTCACACACAAGATGGAGACAGATAAATTGCAGGCAGCGTTGCTAACACTTGCAAGACTTGCGGTAAAAATCACAATAACGGCAGGGAGGGGGTGTCTATAAGCCCCAGCTTTTGGATGTTTTCGTTTGCTTTAGGCTCTAACATTTAATTAAAAAAGTGTTTCAGGCCTACCCAGTTGCAGAGAAAAGTCTGTAAACCCAAGGCTAAGAAAGCAAATGACAGTGAGAAGAATCTTTTTCTGTAAAAAAATGTAAGAAGTTTCATGATTTTATGTTAAATTCATTATTTTTCTCAATACTTGAACTTGGTCATTGGTTAGCAAAGGAGGGGACGACAGCAAAGTCATTGCTGTCTCTTTCCTATGCAATAAAATGTCTCAGTTCAGTTGGTGCACAAGTAGAACTAATTTGAGATGATCTTCTTGACCCGTCTCCCTACACCACCCCTCTCAGCCCACAAATATCAAGCAGCAAAACAGTGCGCTGTCCCACCCTGCTGCGGAAGTTGCTGCTCTGATGTTTCACCCTGACCCGTGACGGGAAGATGATGGTTGGAGAACTGGTGGACAGAGCAGAGCTCTGCAGCAGACCAGCCTTGTCCACCTCTGCACAGGCCCCCGGGCTCTGCAGGTTCGGAAGGAGGAAGCTGACCTCGCACTCTACATTGCTGGTCACCTCTAACGGGGGTTACCTCGGCCACCTTTCTTCTTGGCTCACCGAGACACTTCATCTCATGATGAAGCTGACATCTTCACCACAAATACTCCACATGCTCAGGTCCTTCAGTTGGGCGGTAATGTCATAGAATCACAGAATGTTCTGGTTTGGAAGGACCTTTAAAGGTCGCCCAGTCCAACTGCCCTCACATGAGCAGGGACATCTTCAACTAGAGCAGGTTGTTGCTTTTGGGAAAGAACAACAAAACCTGTTCCTCTTGAGGCAGAGGAAATAAAAAGTAGCCTGTGAATAGTGCTACTGCTGCTTTTGAGGTTGGGGAAAACAAACATGTCCTTTTACAAACACCAAAAAGACTGAGTGAAAAATACTCGGGATGAACTGCTGGCAGTATTTTCTGGTGAGGTGTTAGTTTTTCAGACGTTTGACAGTATTTCTGTGTGACTGACTCTCCAAAGATCACTTGTAAAAATGTACCATTTGCTGTGTTTTGCTTGGTAAATATCTACATCATATTGTGTAGAGTTAATCTTTAAAACAAATATTCATACTTTTTTGAGTTTGGTATACATTTTCCTCTATTTATCATCACTGAGCTCTTACAAAGACGGTTATCTCTTCAATAAGTAGTCTAGGAGATGTTGGAAAATGAAATTAAGAAATGAGTGTACGGGGTATATTTAGGAAACTTCTAACTTCTGCTCTTTGTACTTAATGGCATCTTGCTGCATCAATAACTTATTATATGTGCAAGTGCAGAGTCTGCTTCTGCACAGGAGGCACGATCAGCCGACGGCACGGCGCTGCGCCTGCAGAGCCACAGGCGGGGCTGGAAACCTCCTCCAGACCAGAAGAAGACTTGTTCCTAGGGCAGATGCCGGACGGAGCCCCAGCCTGGAATTAGGCAAGGAGGACGCACCTCTCCATCTGCCGAACTCTGACGGCAAAGCACAGCTTTCGGTGCCTGAACTGACATCTCCCCAGCCAGGACCACACGTGCCCCGAGAGCAGACCAGCCTCAGCAAGAGGCTGAAGGCAAAGGCTAGCTTCCGCTCTCGTGTCAAAACCTGCGCACGGGTAAGACTACACACTTTATGACCGGTGTAAAACAGCAGATTTCCTCCAGCTGGTGCTATTTCAGCTTGCTGTTGCTGAGCAACGGGGATATTTTGGCAGTGCCGTAAAGAAAACATATGCACAGAAGAGAAAAACAACAAAAGATGAAGGCTATGTCTCAGCCGTTAGAAAGAGTTTGTACGTCACTCAGAATTAATTCTTCATTTTACGCTATCCAGAGAATTCATTTTTCCCATCACCCCACGCAAAATAACAGTTATTGGGTAATTTGACATGTATATCAGTGGGAATATCATGCTTTTCCCCATTATCATTCATAAAGCAGTCATTGCTAACAGGACTAATTTATCTTATTATGTAAACTCTTCCTTTTTTTTTTTTTTTCAGTACATCAAATAAATGCTATTCGAGTCACAACCTTTTTTCAAGCCCTCTTTTTGCTTTCTCATTTTTGGCACACAAGTGATATCAGACTCCTAAGAAACATTTCTGCTGGGCAGGAGCTCTGGGGCTCTTTCCTGGACTAATTCCCTCCCAGTGCCAGGATAATATATAGCAAAAAAGATGACACTGTGTTTAAGATTACTAAAAAAATAAAATAATACTAATAATACTAATAATAATTTAAAAAAAAAAAAAAAAACACACCACAACACCAAACCACTTGAAAACATCTGCTTGGAATCAGATTTTACCCAAAAGTCTAATTCAAATGAACTGCCCGCTGCCATTTCCTCAGCCACTCTCATTGCTTCTGTCTGATGCGCGAAATGCTCTGCAAGACTCCCAGTTCCATGTCAAGCAATTGCCCCGGTCTCCACCCTTTGACACTGGAGTGTCTCCTGCCGCCCAGCAGCCCTGGCTGCAGCCACACACTCACAGTCCTGCGTGGGGTTTGCTGTTGGAGGTAAGGGGAGGGAACGCGTGAATGACAAGACAAGAGATCACAGGATGCTGAGCAGGGACCAGCAGATTTTTGTCAGCAGAGCCCACTCCTCTCCCTTCCCAAAGCCGTGCTGCCTCTTCACGGAGCCCAGGGCATGTTGACACACCAGCAGCAGTACCAAGACATGGGCTACAGCCCTCAATTCCCCTTCCCCCAGCAAACCAGTATCCGGGCAAGTGTGGAAGAGGCCAATATTTAGCCATGCAGTGAAGATGCTACACCCTTGATGACGCTGAACTGAGAGGAGGAAACATTCAGCCCAGGTTACCCAAGGACCAGACCCAGGAGTCGGTTGCAGAAGCAGGACCAAAAGCAAGAGGTATGGGAACAGCACATCAGCATTTTAGATGCTCAAATCTGGGCACATGCAACAATACAATCTCCTTTATCTTATCCTCCAGGACTGTTGCGGGGTTTGTTTGGTTTCACCGTGTTGTACATGAAATATAAACAGCATAAAGAATGCTTGTGTTGATAATTATCTCATCTTTTGAATCTTGACATTTAGTGTAAAGGGTAGAATCGACACACAATTTGGCCATATCTGGGAATAATTCACCCGCTAAGAAAGATACTAGTCACGAGGAAGCCGGGCTGTGCATTCAAAAGAAATACTTGATTATTTTCCCCTCCCTCAGAGTCTAAGCATTGCCAAAACCACTACGGCAAGTGAATCGTTAGACACAAATGCACACCTTTCTGATGTTTTCTCTTTGTCTTGCTGTGGAAACCTTCAGGTGGTAAGGCCTTTTTTGTTGCCAGCAGTTCGGCTTACTCAAGATTTTGAATGAGATGGGGAAACAGTATAACTCTCAAAGAAAATACAACCAAATGACTTAAGACCCTCACTCTGCTTATTCTCAAAGGCACAGATAGACCAAGGTAATTGGTTTCCCATGCACGGGAAAGTATTTTAACAGGAGTTAGAAGCCTTAATATTTCATAGATTTGGGCCAGAAGACTTGGGCTTAGGTCCCCAAAGGCTACGTCCATGTGGGTAAACGAAAAGGCGGAGGTGCTGGCACACAGACACCCAGCCGGCTCGACTGAGCATGCATGCCCTGGCACAGCCCCAGCCTTTGTCAACCAGCATCCCCCAGACCTCGCCTAGACACAGCTCAGCAAGCAGCATGGACCTCTTGGCTCCTCAGCACGTCCTACACCAGCTAACATTTAGAGACGTTGCACTTGCAAAGGTGCTCTGAAGGTTAAATTACCCACCTTGAGGTTGAGCCCTCCTGGCTCGCTATTGCATTTCAGTGCGAAGACAGACAAATTTGCTGCATAGCGTTCCTGCGCCTTTCATCAGCGAGAGCCCTTCCACGCCTAAGTGTTTGCAAGCGCAGCCTCCTTGTCCTGCACGGCTGGGGTTTAGCTCCTGCGCTGTGGGGCTGCTGCCAACCCCGCCTCAACCATCAGGGCCAAAGATGGCCTGGGCACACACGAGGGGCAGACCGCAGGGGACAGCAGTGTTGAAGCCCTGCCCCTTGCCTGACACAGCTACTCACCTGGGGCAGAAAGAAGAGCAGAAATAAAGAGGGAGAGGGAACACGAGTAACTCTGCGACTGGGTGGTTCTGGGCATCACCCAGAGGTACCACTGAAGAAGGATGCCACCGACAACCGGCAAAAGGGAGGCTGAAAGGGCAAATGTGTGACAGAGGAGCTCATGTTGCTTCATGTGCTATGGCAAGAGCCTCAGAGACTGGGGAAACAAGATCCAGTCTGAGACTGGATCAGATCCTGCCCGTAATACCAGTATTTCCAACTGCTCTAGGCAGCGACGCAGCTTGGAATCTGGCCCCAAATGC